TACCTCAGGCCTTGTCCGGGTAGCGGCACGTATGCCGCTTTTCCCGACAAGAGGAATCGATTGGACATTCGGTGAAGTGCACGATTGGGGCTTACTCCTCGCCAAGCCACCGCCTGCACAAAATTATACACACGACCTCCGCTACGCTGCGGTGCGCGCAATTTTGTCGTCGCTCGCTACTGTAAAGCTGATCGTTCTTATGCGGGTGTATACAATACACAAGTATGTCCGAACATATTCCGTTCGGACACTTTTACTCGGAGAATATATGTTCCCCTTAAGTCCAATACAAATGTCAAGTATGTCCGACTGAAATTGTCCGAACGAACGGTGTCCACAAAGTGATCATATTCAACCATACACTACGAAGTATCTTGGCGCAGAGTGAATTTACAGTTAAATACTGCAGAACTATGTACAGTGAAGGACGGATTTTTAGTCACACCGAAGTTTCGTTGTTACAAACGTGATTAATGGCCAATGATATAGAAGGGATGAATTATAGCCGTCTCATTGGCTATAAAATAAATGCGCGCACAAAGAAATATGCAAAGCCCGCGAGAGCATGATTCAGAGAGCCCAAAGCATTCCAAATTTTGAGCACCATGGAGCTCGACACCCCCAACACGTCCCGAGGAGGTCGCCGACATGTGTATGCAATGTCGTTGAAGAAACGAGGTATCACGCTGTTACCGCACAAGTCCATCCGCAAGGTGGCAGGCGACCTCTCGGTCTCGTATAGCGTCGTGCGCACCTGGAAACGCGTTTCAGACAAGATCGACCAACTTGCATGGAGCAGGCCGCCCTGCTCCACGCAAGTTGGTCGACGACAGGGATGTCATCGAACGATTATTTACATGGTGTGATGACAACAAATAGCGTTAACCTTACGGTACGCAAACATCGCCATGACAAGCCCATCAAGCCGCTGCGGGTGCGCATCAAGCCTGGCGCCGTTCCTGTCAAGTGTGGCCTGCGACGATACCCCCCAGCGCATAGATTTGCTGATATGTGCGCGAGCTTGAAGCAGCTGGCCTGGTGTACCGAAACAACCGCGCAACATGGGCCTCGGCATCGCGTATCGTCCCCAAGAAAGACCCTGGCGACTTTCGCATAACCCATCGACAGCCGGCTCATCAACGCGTGTACGGAGCGTATGCCATGGCCTATGTCGAACCTCGACGCCGCCCTGACTGTCTCGTTTTTCACTCTTGACTGGTTCAAGGACTACTGGCAGCTGGCGCTTCATGAAGACTCCCAAATGTACTACTCCTTCATCTACTTCATCTACTCCCCTTGGAGTGTACACGCCCACAAGAGTACATATGGGTCAGACCGACGCGGTGGCGTTCTGTCATCGGCGGTGGACTTCATGTTTGCCGACCTACTGTTCAGGGGACTCCTAGCCTGGCTCGCCGACATGCTTGGCTACGCCGAGACCCCTGAAAGACCAAGTCCTCACGATCTGCTCCTCCTTCTGCCTGAAGCTCAACCCGAACAAATTCGACTCCTTCCTGACCAAGGCCGTCTGGTGCGGCAAACGTTTCAACTGAAGGCGTCCAGCACTCCCCCACAAGAATCCAAGGACTGTGTGCGCTCGCGCCGCCTGTCACGGCCGCCGACCTCCAACAGTTCGTGTGCGCGACCACTGGATGCGGTCCAGCATCCCCTACTACACCGAGCTTGTGGTGCCTCTCCGCCAACTCCCCGACGCATCGACCAAACAAATTAGAAGTGCAAAGAAGACGAAGCTCACCCGCGTCCAACTCCCTGCCGTTGGCTGGGACGTTGACCATCTGGCCTGCTTTGACAATATTAAGGAAGATCTATTCGCGATGGTTCCCTCCCACGGGCAGACATGATGGTCTGCCTTTACACCGACGCAAGCGAAGGCTTTGGGGCGCCATCACCACTCAAGTACCATTTGAAGACATGGCCCTGCCGTTGGAAGAGCAGCGCTACCAGCCGTTGCCCTTTCTCAGCGGCGCCTTTACTGGCGCAAGCGAGCGTTGGCCAATCCTGGAGAAGGATGCGTTTGCCGTTGTGGAAAGCTGCAACCGGCTGGACTACATTTTCATCCGCCCTGCTGGCTTCCGCCTTTTCACCGACCACAAGAACCAGCAGAATATTTTCAATCCCCAAGCATGGCAAGGTAGGTAGGTAGGTACAAAGCGCACATGTTGGAGCGCTGGGCCTTGGTGCTTTCCTCGTTCCCCTATACCATCTAGTGCCTGCCCGGTGAAGACAATGTGTGGGGCGACCTGCTCAGCCGCTGGGACGCCGCCCAAGCTCAAGTGCCAACGAAGTCCGTCCGGCGCCTCCTGGCCTTGGTGTCGCCCCTGTTCCTCGACAAGAAAGACCGCATCTGGATCCCACCAAGTGCCACGGACCTCCAGCAGCGGGTCTGCATCATAGCGCACCAAGGCGCCGCGGGCCATCGACGGATCGAAGCCACAACCAAGGCCGTCTCTACCAGGGGTGGTTGACCTCTCGGCTCGCCTCGTGTGGCTCTTGCCGACATTACTCTTCGGTCGCCATGGGCACATCAGTCAATCGCAGTCGATCCTGGCCATCAACGGCTACAAGGACCTGCGCCAACGCCCGCTCACCGCCGTCCGCGTCGAGCTTAGTCATCCGCGCGTGCAAGTGGCCTGGGCGTCGCTAATTACGGGTTCATGCGACTTTGGCCCAGCGAGACAAACGACGCCGCGGCGACCGCCAACGGCTTCCTCGACTGGTTCACGACATTTGGGTATGTCCATACCTGGGTCTCCGACAGCGGGTCCCATTTCAAGAACGAAGTCATCGACAAGATCCGCAAGGCCGCCGGCGCCCACCACCACTTCACGACCGCCTACTGTCCTTGGGCGAATAGAACCATTAAAGTAGTCAACCGACTGATCCTCCGTGCTGTCATGAGTCTTGACGGCTGGTAAGCGTCTTGACTCAAGACGCTCACCAGCGAGATGAAGCTGCGCGCGACAGACTGGCACCTCGTCCTGGCCCTGGTACAAGGCGCCTTCAACCACATGCCAAGCAACCGACTTAGCGGCATGGTACCGGTGACCGCCGTTAATGACCTGCCTGCGAAGACGCCCTTGTCAGCGCTTGTCAACACCGTGACCGAGGAAGTCACCGATATAAACTGGCTCGATTCCTCGCGCACGAAGCAAATGCAAAAGCTGCATGAAGCCATGGAACAGCTGCACCGCGAAGTGGCTGCGACAAGCGCCAACAAGCGATGCTAAGCTCGCGACCACCAAGCCAAGTCCTAGGTCATCCAGTTGCAGAAGTTTGCGATTGGCGACTTTTTCCTCCTTGGTCAAGTGTCCCGCCAACGCAACAAGGTATCCCTGCAGTGGCGCGACCCAGGCAAGATCGTTCGGGTCGTGACAGAATATGTCATGGCAGAATATGTCATGGAGACCCAGCATTGGTGCAGCCTTATGACTTGACCCTCCATCACGCCTGTCGACACAAGATGTATATTACGAAGGCGGCCGCGATGTGACCGAAGCATGGCCGACCATATTGCCTTCGGCAATGAAGGTTCCACGTGGCCAAGCTCAGCGAAGTCCGCCAAGGAAGCGGCGAATACCAAGCCCTTATTTACTGGCTTGGCCTCGATGAAGACGAAGCCTCATGGGAGCCCGTGCGCTTCTTGAAGCTGGGTTCTCCAACTGAAAGAAAATGGCCGCGGAACTCGAGAACACCCTCGGACACTCTCTTTAGGGGGAAGTATCGCTCCGGATAACGACGGGAACCTCACATTCGTCGTCAGCACATTTGGCGGACGACAGGGCTGCGAGAACCAAATCCTGGTCCATATATTACGTACAAATAGTAGTTGTCGGTTAAAAGTCTATTTCGTTGCTGGAAAATACGGCCTGCCCAAAAAATACCTATATTATCCTATATATATATTAGTAAAATTACACTCTGAATATGAATACTCCGAGGAATTATCTCCAATAGGAATATCCAAAAAGTATCTAATCGAATCATTACGTTACAATCAATTGAACCAAAACCACACGCCTATTTCAAATTTCAAATCCGCACGAAGTCAATCACAGAAACAAAAACGTTACCACTACTATGATGTACAAGAATCGGGCTGGATGGACAGTCGTACTGGGACGCGTATTTGGACATGCTGCCTCCCTATATCGACGGTCCGACGATTATTCTGGCCGACAACTTCGGCGGACCGTATCGCGGACGAGCTGCGCAACCCCTCTCTCCCAACTGCACAAGTATTTGCCAGCCATTGGACGTCGGGGTAATGGGCCCCTTCGCACAAATCATGCGAAAACTATCGTTGGATGAGGTGCCTGTGACAACCGCTGCCGAGAAGCGCCTTGCAATGAGCAAGGATTGTCCGTTCGATCAAAGCGTGGGAAATTATTTCCTCTGATACAATTAGAAAGTCATTTGTTAAGGACATTCCTAGACCTGAAATAATTGCAAGGTAATGCATCAATTGTTGACATGGCACCATATGATGAGACTGTCTGACTTTTAGCCAATAGCATCTCGATATTTCGTGTTGGCCTTGTATGATTTGATATGATAATATTCGCCGCTATATTTTATTACACGTCTAAATGTTGAAGTCTGGTCAGTTTTTTTCAATCTCAAGCAGCAGCGTATTGCTTCTCGCAACGAGTGGATGGCCTCCACTCGGCCACTACTGTTGTGATCCACAGCAGTGAATTAAAATGTGACTGCACTTTTTAAGCTGACTAATAAAATTCATGTAAAATTTTATTACGTAACGTTATTGCGAAATGCATGCAATTATATTTTTGATCAAATTATTTTGCATATTAATTTAATCGAATACAAACATCAAGGTTTTTAAGGAGTGTCATGAATTGGTGCACTTCAAAAGTCGTGACCATAAAGCACAAAACATTTAATTTCAATTCAAATCTGAAATGTAGTCCAATCATGTTCAATGATTGGATTACTTTTCATAAAAAAAATGGTGGTGGGTTGCTGGTGTAAACCCCCCTCCTGAATCCAGTTGCGCTAGCTATCCTCATCACGTGAATGGGGGACCCCCAAAAATCACATAAATCGCATATTTATGTTTCATATGTGCTGTCGTTGTGTCCCAGCATATGTTGTACTTGTGTCAACTTGTCACAGATGTGCCAACCAAAAACCAGGAACACAAATCGACTAATTCAAAGTGGGTTTGACCACTTGCACACGATATTTGGTCCTGCTTGCTGCAGTGGTGATGAGATAAAACATCAAGACTAGTTGTCGCCATGAAGCTGCGATCGCATTTACTCATGTACATTAAGTGCCATGGTATCTCACTCGGTGTGACGAGTGCAGTCGATAGAATCTAGAGTAGTGTGTGTGTGAGAACAATAATAATGTGCATTTGTGCCTTGAGACCTTATTGCGAGTCCGTATTTGCATACGCAGGCGTAACATGAGAGCCAGGAGAAGCTGGTTGCGGTGTATCGTACGTTGGCGATGCCTTTGGCGAGCCCTGAGAAACCCAAGAGGCGAGGATCTCATCACCACTGCAGCAAGCAGGACCAAATATCGTGTGCAAGTGGTTGACCACTTTGAATTAGTCGATTTGTGTTCCTGGTTTTTGGTTGGCACATCTGTGACAAGTTGACACAAGTACAACATATGCTGGGACACAACGACAGCACATATGAAACATAAATATGCGATTTATGTGATTTTTGGGGGTCCCCCATTCACGTGATGAGGATAGCTAGCGCAACTGGATTCAGGAGGGGGGTTTACACCAGCAACCCACCACCATTTTTTTTATGAAAAGTAATCCAATCATTGAACATGATTGGACTACATTTCAGATTTGAATTGAAATTAAATGTTTTGTGCTTTATGGTCACGACTTTTGAAGTGCACCAATTCATGACACTCCTTAAAAACCTTGATGTTTGTATTCGATTAAATTAATATGCAAAATAATTTGATCAAAAATATAATTGCATGCATTTCGCAATAACGTTACGTAATAAAATTTTACATGAATTTTATTAGTCAGCTTAAAAAGTGCAGTCACATTTTAATTCACTGCTGTGGATCACAACAGTAGTGGCCGAGTGGAGGCCATCCACTCGTTGCGAGAAGCAATACGCTGCTGCTT